GATGTTTGTTTCTGGATTTCCTAAATGATTAAAAATTAGTACAAGGTAGGAAGAATAAACTTCCTTCTACTCTTCTAGGTTCTTGGCTGAGATACAATCTGTAACAAGGGACAGATTAAGAGGAGAAAAACATAAGCTTCATAGTATAAAAATACCTCCTGGGAAAGACCCAGAAAAACTGAATAACTCCCCCATGTGGCCCAAGCCACCATCTCCAGCTAAAGACAAAAGAAAGATGTTGGGTGGGTGGGGAAAGCCAGTTTGGGGAGATTACCAGGAAGAGTACAGTAAACAAAGGTAAGGTTGTTACACAGATGTAGGTCCTTGCCTTCCCCACTAATAAGAATTTCTAGAGATTTGGTCAACTTCCTCTTCCTGGTACAGAGAGGGAGACATCCTTACCAATGAAGATTTCTCTTATGAATGTAAATGTCTCTTACAAAGGATAACTTTTACTCAGTTTTCAATATTTTTTTTTAAATGAGCCTAACTCTTATGCCAAAGAGGCTTATTCTGAGGTGGCAAATTCTGCTCGCCTTCAGTAGTAATGGTCCAGCTCTAGCCCAGAAAAGCAAAACATGTTAACTGATGTGCTAACATGCAGCATATCAAGTCAATGACAATACAGAGTTTTCTTTTTTTGGTGTTATTCATTTCTTATTTTAGTTTCAAAAGCAAAAGAGGGAATTTTTTTTTCAGAAGTATTACCAAAAACAAGTTGGAAGCCTCTATTTTTAAAGCAATCTTAGTACGTGTTTCAGTCTAGGTCCTCTGGGAAGCTGACATCAACATGTAATTAAATGTGCAAGAGATTTATTTGGTAAACTGCTCATGAGGATAAATGGGGACAGAGTCAAGGGAAGTGATCAATGCAGGTGGAAGAGAGAGGGAAAAAAAGGAGGCTTGGGCAGAAGTACCTCCTTCTGCTATAGTTCTCAGATATTTCATCAAGGCTTTCACAGAGTCCTTCAGCCAAAGTCACCCTCCAGGAACAGGTCTGCTGTGCTCAGTCATTGCCTGTGTAGGAGAGGACATTTTTTTTCCTCTACCCTTCTAGGTTTTTTTTTTGGCTGGTCTGTTAATTAAATTGACATAAGACAGATTAACAGAAGAAAAATAAATTTAATCACATACATATGGAAGCCCCGTAAGAAGATGAGACCCAAGGACAAGTCAGTCAGTTGAGGCTTATATGTCATCGTGAACGAAGGGATGGGACTGAGGCCTGGGGCTGCCAAGGGGAGGAGGGTAATTTATGGGACAATAAGAAGACCAGATGTTTGGTAATTAGATGTTTGCCCTGTCAGACAGATAGATCTTTCAGATAAAAATTTATCTCTGGTAATAACTCTTTTTCTGGACCAGGCTCCCAGTCTAAATTCTTTTAGTTAGGGGAAAGGCAGAAGTTTTTCTTGAGTCAGCTGGGTCTTGAGTGCCTTTGATGAAGGATAGTTGGAAGAAAGGCAGGCAGGGACAAGGGATCAAGCCCTGAGTTGGGCTCCATGCTCAGGAGGGAGTCTGCTTCTCTCTCTTTCTGGCTCCCTCTGCCCCACCCCCACTCACGTGCACGCTCTCTCTAAAACAAGTAAATAATCTTTTAAAAAAAAGGTATTGAACTCTTCTAGGGAATCAAGTTGGCCATGAAGATCACTAACTTTATGAATGGGAAAAGAATATGGATACCTCTGATTATAGAAATATTGGTTTTAAAAAATGTGATATAATTACTGCCTTGACAAAATGAGAGTTTTGAAGGATTATAGAGTACATGATTCATGGAATTCTTTCTAAATTCTTTCTCAATTCTGATCCCATTGTCTTGTGCTTTTAGAAAATTCATTAACCAATGATTAATTGATAAAGTAACACCATGTGACAACCACAGGGCAAAGGGCCTGAGTGTCAAAGTTTCAGGTCAGGGAGCCTATCATGTTTCACTATATTCCAGCGTAGGTGAGTTTGTTCCTCCAGTGGCCTCTTCCACCACCTTGGTGTTTCTGTCACTCCTAAACTCCAAATATACCTCAACAATCAAGCCTCTGATGATTCACCTTTCTGCTGTTTCTATGACTGCATCCGACCTTAGCCCTGGTCTCACGACAATTTTGTTGGGACTATTTAACAGTTTCTGAGGAATCCACAGGACTAGCCATGTTATTCCCCACTGACATTCCCCAGAACTTATTGCTGTCTGTGTATGTGTAGATGCTGTCTCTTAGACTGGCATTCATCTATTTATAACAGCTCATGTGGTGCCTATTTGAAATTTTATTGATTTTGAGCCTAATCATCATGCGATGATTCTGGGTTCTCTTCAATTAAGATAAAGGAAACATGATGCCAGATGGAGAAGGGTGATTCATCATCTCTTCCTCTTTTTCCAATGCTGAAAGAGCAAGCATAAGATGGAAATTTTGGTTTTTTAAAGGTTTGATAGAATTCATCTTTAAAATTGTCACTGAAAAAAAGTGTCATAGCTTATTCTGCAATCCAATAGAAGAAAATGAAGGAAAAACATAAACAAAAGGTAAGAAGTGGTAGAAAGAAAAAATAACAAAAAGAATCAGAGAAAATAAGATAGGATTAATTAATCAGTCCATCAATCAATTAATCAGATGATCATTTATTGAGTAGTTACTATCAGGTCCAACATTACACAGCAACATAACAAATTCCCAAGCACTGATAAGAGCCATGAGAAAAATAAGTGGGCTAAAGATATAAGACTAGGAAACTGATTTCATTAGGATGGTCAGAAAGTCTCAAAAAACCTGATATTTGAGTTGAAATCTGAATGACTGGAGGGACAAGCATTCCAGGCTGGTGGATCTTCACAGAGCATGTCAATGTCTGATTCCACCTTCATTCTACTTCTCTGCTTTTAGAGCCATTTTTCTTACATATATTCCCCCCCCAAAATTAGGTTAAATTGTCCATAGTATTTTCTCACAATTATTTTAATCATCTTGGTATCTGTATTTATTTCATACCTTAGTTCTAAAATTATTAGCTTTTTATCTCTTTTTTCTTGGTCATACTTCAAAAAGTTTGTGTATGTTATTATATTATTTTAAAATCTTCTTCTATTAACTCTATTCTTTTATGTCTATTACATTAACTTCTACTTTCCCTCTATTAATCCTTTCTTATGCTTTGATGGGTTAATTTTGTTTGTTTCCTAATATGAAAGCATGGTGCACTGATATGTAATCTTTTTATTATTAATACATTAATATAAGGATGTAAATTTGTTCCCTTCTCGTGTCAGGGCCTTTGCACTCTTTCTGCCCGAAGATGTTGTTCTATTGCTATCTTGCCTTCAGTAGCCCTATCTTCATATTTTCCTAGAAGCTTTTAAGATTTCATTTTTACTCTTTGTCACCATGTCTAAATTTGCTTTTTTTTTTTTTAATTCATCCTCTTCAAGACTGAAGTGGGTTCTTTTCATCAAAGACTCACTCTTTAGTCTACAGATCGTCTATGGTCTTGTCCATACATATATCCCATGTACTTCTGGGTTTCCAGTTAGATGTCAAAACTACTGGAGGCATCCTCCATGTTTTGCAGGTTTTCTTTCACGCTTCTTGTCTCTCTCCAACTGTTGTGCCTTCTGGCTTAACTCTTTAACAAGATCTTCCAGAACCTAATTTATGCTTCTTCTCAGTACATTCTGGACTTCTGTTTTTAATTTCAACAACAATTTTCATTTTTGAGGTTTATCACTTTTATTCCTTTATTGGTAATCATTCTTATTGTATGATTATGATTTATTCCTTCATTCCTTCATCCATTTAATGGTAGAACGCACAAAGACATAAAAAGGTGTTACGCATCTAGTAAATAATGTTAGCTATTATGATTAATGTTTTCATGTTTATTTGAAAGTCCAGTTCTACCTCTATTAACATTTTCCTGATGTTTAAATTCTTCCCTATGTTGAGTTTTGTATTTGTCTTGGATTTCTTTGATCTGTTAGACATCTTGACTATATGACTGTGTATCTTTGGGAATAAGTTTCCATTTCAACTATCTTTTGTATCTGTTTGTGCAGACTGCTTAGAGAGTAAAATGTGTCTTGAATCTTAGCACAGTTTCAGAAAAAGTAAGAAGGAAGTATCTTAATGGTATTTTCACTGCTAGCCTTCTACATATGGGTCCTCCCTATTCTTCCCATCCTCTACCATCCACAACACCCTGCTTCTCTTGCCTGATAGCACTCACTCATTGCTCCAGTTTGGAAATATAAACTAGGAGTTCACTTGCTTGGCTAATACTGTTTTGGTCTCTCCAGCTCCATCCAGCTTTTAGTATCCACCACCTCCATGTATACAACAGTCTTGGAGCTGCTTTTGCCTTCTGTGTTGGTCCTATTTTTTGTGACTTTCCTGTATCATCCTATATAGTGCCCATCTCTGAGAGATGTTGCTGTCTTTTATGGGCAGTGAAGTGGGGGTGAAATGTTCCCTTTTTATATCTTAAGTGCTTATCTGTTGGCTTTTCTTGTTTTTTTATAATTTTTATGAATTTGGAGGGACAGAAGATTGCGGCCTGTGCTCAGACTGCCATCTTCAATGAGAATTTAGTACAGAAAATTTTAGAGTAAAGTTCTTAGGAACCTTTGCAAAACTAATACCTGTGGAATTAAAATTATTCAGGTCATACAATACTAAAAAGTATTTCTCAATAAATATTATGGCACAGACCTAATTTAACTTATTACTACATACGGTAGTCCCTGCTGGTCCATGGGGGGGATGTTCCAAGACCTCCAGTGGATGCCTGAAACTGCAGATTGTAGTGAACCCTACATATACTACATATACACTCTGTGTTTTTTTCCTATACATATATACCTATGATAAAGTTTAATTTATAAATTAGGCACAGCAAGAGATTAACAACAATAACTAATAAAAAAAATAGAACAATTATGACATACATTGTATAATAAATTATGTGAATGAGGCCTGTCTCAAAATATCTTTTTGTACTGTACTCACCCTTTGTCTTCTCTTGATGATGTCAGATGAGAAAGTGTCTACTTGACAAGATGAAGTGAGGTGAGCAATGTAGGCACAGTGATGCAGTGTCAGAGTGCTACTGACTTGGTGATAGGTCAGAAGGAGGACCATCTGCTTCCAGACCTTGGTTGACCACAGGTAACTGAAACCACAGAAAGGGAAAAGTGCAGATAAAGAGCACTGCTGTACACAAAATCTAGTATTATATTTTAAAAAACTAATATGCTATAATCAGGTAGTGTTTATTCCAGGAATACTATCATAATTCAGGAACTATATCAACATAACCCATTCAATTAATACATTAAAAGAAAAAAATCATACAACTATAGAAACAGATGACAAAAGGACATTAGATAAAACTTACCAGGGACTCTAATGAAAATTTAAATAAAATAGGAATGTTTGGAAGCAAATGATTTAGTAACTATCATACAGCAAGAAATAATTACTTCTTTCCAGTTACATGTATTCAGGGCATAACTTTGGCTCTGCTTGTTTTTATTCAATTTTGTTCCATATAGCCTCTTCATTCTTGGATCCTGGCTAATGTAGTAGTCTTTATCTGCAATGTGCTGTTCTCATAGCAGTAGAACTGGCAAAGCCATGAGATGGTTCTTAAAGCTTCTGTTGAACATGACATTCAGTGATTCCTTTAACCAAAACAACTCCTGTGTCAAGTCTGATATGAAAGAAAGAGAGAAGTATACCCCTTCAACTGGGAGGTACTGGAAAGCAAATGGTTGTAGAGGAGGCCATGCATACTATTTGTAGGAAGGACAGTCAGAAAATGGGAACGAGATGCCATCCCAATATGAAAAATACTCTTATGCCAAAACTAACAGCAAAATGACCTTATGTCTATGAAAATCAGTAATAAAACAGGGATGCCTGCAATATATCAATAGAAGATCTAGCTAATGCATTAAGAAAACAAATTGATCAGCTTGAATATTTAAAAAGATACATAGTATTATCGTCCTTTGGTAAAGATATTGTGTCTATAAAATCAAAGATACTTTGTCAAACAAAAAATGATAATTATTAATGTGCCTGGCAACAAGATGAATTAAGGGAAAAAATATAATAGTGGAGGAAAACTGTATTTTATTAAGAATAAAATAAAGATGCAGAGCCATTAGGAACAAAAACATAAAACTGTATTAAATTACTTAAAGTAAGACTGGAAATTGGATTAATGTGCAATGTTCTTGAACAAGATTGATCATCACAAATATCAAGAGTTCGAAATTAATATATAAATGAACAGGAAAACACATATTACTTATTTTGTATATTGCATGTAACTTAACTTATATATCATATATTTGCATGTTTACTTGTGTTTCTCTGTCTTTCCAACTTGACTGCAAGTTCCATGAGCCAGTCCTGATCACCATTTTAGCCACAGAACCTTACATGATACTCATAGGAGCATAATAAATATTTATTGATTGGCTGAACCACAACATTATCAACATAACAGTTTGTTTTACTACTTTAGAATAAGCACTTCATGTTGCTCTGGTGATGTTATTTGGCCTATTAGTAGGTTCCCTGCATAGTACTAGATGTTGTAGAGAATAAAGTGATGGATATTCTTTGTCTGAACCCCTCTCTCACTATAGTTTCATATATAATGAGAGGAAGGAAGAAAGGAACACTTGCCTTGAAGAAACATCCTTCCTAATGGGAGTAACAGCCATATATACAGTTGACTCTTGAACAACATGGGGATTAGGGGCACCAAACCTGTGCACAGTCAAAACACTGAAAATAAATTCTGACTCCTCAAAAACCTAACTACTAATAGCCTATTGTTGGCTGGAGGCCTTACCAATAAAAAAAAGCAGTAGATTAACACATATTTTGTATGTTGTATGTATTATATACTGTATTCTTACAATAAAGTAAGCTAGAGGAAAGAAAATGTTTTTAAGAAAATCATAAGAGAAAATACATTTATACCTCTGTACCATATTGAAAAAAAAAATCCACGTATTAGTGGACCTGCACAGTTCAAACCCATGTTGTTCAGGGGTCAACTGTTTAACTAAATGTTGTGCAAGACAGAATGACAGGGGATGAAAATAGAACAGTCCCAGTGTGGTAAGAGTAAAGTAAGAATAATAACTGATTTTGACTTCAGGGAGAAGGGTCAGAAATTTTTATGTATTAATCAAATCTGTAGAATGAGTAGAAATTCAGTAGTTAGGAATGTTTTGAAAAGCCTAGATTAAGAGAATTAACTTTACTATCAATTTATTTTTTATTTTTTTAAGATTTATTTATTTATTTTGGGGGAGAGAGAGAGAGACAGCGCTCACAGTGGGGAGAGGCAGGGGGAAGGGAGAAAGAGAATCTCAAGCAGACTCCCTGCTGAGCGCAAAGACCCTACCTGTGGTTCCATCTCACGACCCTGTGATCATGACTGAGCCGAAATAAAGAGTCAGATGCTTGGAGTGCCTGGGTGGCTCAGTTGTTAAGCATCTGCCTTCGGCTCGGGTCATAATCCCGGGCTCTGGGATCGAGCCCCGCATCGGGCTCCCCGCTCCGTGGGAAACCTGCTTCTCCCTCTCCCACTCCCCCTGCTTGTGTTCCCTCTCTCGCTGTGTCTCTCTTTGTCAAATTAATAAATAAAATCTTTAAAAAAAAAAAAAGAGACGCTTAACTAACTGAGCCACCCAGGTGCCTCTATTATTAACTTAAAGCAAACTATAGAATTAGAAAAATAAATGTAATGAGAAAATGTATTATCTAACTCTGAAGTCAAGCATGATTTACAAGTGAAATATTTTAGCTTCAACTTTATAACTGGTTATACCTTTCATGACTGCCTTTAACATCAATAAACTAAGATGAGAGAAAATTTCTAGGTGCATTATTTCTCTTTGATCTTTTGCATTGCCTCCACTTTGATTCTCCTTTCTGTCTCTCTCTCTTGTTATATCTATTTCTCCTCTCCCCAACTTCTTTTCATTTTTAAAATACTCTCAGTTGGTAATAAATTATTCAGTATCTCCTTTTTTCTGATAGTCCAAGAGGAACTGCATATAAAGGTAGTAAAAATATTATTATTGAACCCCTCTTAATTGCAGTATAGATGGGAGATTTCTTGGTATGCGTATGATGGAACTATCATACCCATTTACTATTGTTCAGGGAAGTAAGGCCCATTTTGTCAAAAAAAATAAATTTAAGGAACTATAAATCATATTGCTACTCATTTCCTAAATATCCTAGGCACTCTATAAATTAAGTCTGGGTGTATTTAAAAGGACAACTTTAGAAAAGTAGATTTAATAATTATATTCAATATGTGGCATCTTTGAGTCAATACATAAATATGGCTCTTAATATTTTGCAGTTGGATCTACATACAATGTATTTGGAAGTGCAGATAACTGCAGAATGGTTGTCATTTTGAAAAGATTATTTAAATACCTTTAAACAGGTTACATAATTCAAATAAAGAATCAGTTGATGACCATATTCTCATTCCTTGGCCACATTGTGATATTCTTGCAAATTAAAAGAGAACATAGCTTTCAATGAATGAACTAAGAGACATTATATCTAAGTTTGAGTTTTAATCTCCCACATTTTTAATTAGTACAAATACAATTTAAATTATTGCCTGCTTAAGCAAATGACAAAAGATAAATTTTCTAAAACATATAAAGGAACGCTCTTCAGTATAAAATTTTCTGTGATCCATAAAGATGGTTTCTGTACACTGTTACATTGCCATATATGATTGTGGTTTTTAAGCAATTTATTTTCCTTTTTTTTCATAAAATGCAGCATTATAATTATCTTCTGGGCTTTACTCTCTTTGTATGTTACCTTTTTTTCTTTTCCTTATCTGAATTGTATACTACCCCTATATCAACAGCACCATGGACAAGTAGAGCTCAGCTATTGCCCAAGAATTTCAAATTAAAATATTTATGAGATCATTGTGCTTTATAAGATAATAAATGCAATAGCAGACCATTTATTGGCTGACTGTCCATCTGTTCCAACAATAATTCAAATCTGGAAGGGAATATAATCCTGAGCTGGAAGAGAAAACTGCTGTCAGGTGCCAAATCCATATTTTTCCTTTTGTGTGTTAATCTGGTCGGTAATAGCACTTTTACCCAGGGGACATACTTACTGAGGGAAAAACAAATCAAAATATTGAAAATGTTTTGTTGTAAGAATGACCAAAGTCAGAATAGAATTCTTCAGACCTTATTCATTTTTCAAAACAAAATGAAAAGACCAATAATGAGAACAAAAATGAAGTCTAAAAGTTAAGTAGCATTTAAAGACTAAACTAAGTTTCAAAATTAGAAACAATTTTAAAATAGCAGAATTGATCATTCATAGAATATTACAAAAATGACTTACCCTGAATTCTTAAAAATACTGAGAAAAGACTTACGGTTTTTTAATGAAATGAAGTAATTGGCTTCTATCAATTCAAGTTAAAAAATGTATTTTCTACAGCTGTGCAAATGTCATATTTGGTTGAATAATGACAAAACCCACAGTATTTTGCTGTCTTGGAAACTGATAAAATACAGTGGGTGGGAAATAACTACATAGTGTGTTAGGATAATAAATTGTTACACACGTATAGCTATTTAACTTCAGTTTGCCATGATTGCAAAAAATATAATATGCTAAAAATAAGAAAGTACTCTCCTATTGACTCTAAAATTTCTAACTAATTTTATCACTCAGAGTTCAATCACAGAAGCAGAACTACTGGAATACACACAACTGATAATTAGGATTAGATCTCACACAATTTAGGAAGCTGGTTGAATAGATTTGGGATGTTGTTTATACCGTCTGGTGCTGAAGCCTAAAGTTGGCCGGGCAGGCGGTAAGGAAAGGAAGATGGACATCCAGTGGGGACAGCAAAGACTAAAGGAAAATTTTGAGGTAAGTGAAATCCATGTGCACAGACTGGAACTTGCATGGATCGCTGCCTCTAAGCCTCCAAATATGATGATGAGCCTGTTGTGCAGATGAAGTTGGTATCCTTAGCTCTGAGGAGAACATGCACCTGGTTCATGAGTCAGAAAGTTAAAAGGGGAGATGCAGCCGGAGCTTAAGGTCTTTAAGTTAAAATGAAGTTTTTAGGATGGG